TAGATAGATAGATAGATAGACAGACAGACAGACAGACAGATAGATAGATAGATAGATAGATAGATAGACAGACAGACAGATAGATAGATAGATAGATAGATAGATAGATAGATAGATAGATAGATAGATAGATAGATAGATAGATAGATAGATAGATAGATCCATAGATAGATCGATAGATAGATAGACAGATAGATAGATAGGAAAATTATTCACAATTACGTATAAAATCATACAATGAAATAAAAAAAAGAAATTTTACATGCTGTACAAAAAAAGAGGTATCAAAATTATTTATTTACTTATTTCAGTAGAAAAGATGGATAACTGTTTATTACTTATAAAACTACTGTTTATATTATTTATTTTTTAAATAATATTCCTTGATATCATACCATTGATGATCTAAGATAAATGCTAATATTGGTCAAGATGGATATATAATGCACCCATAATATGTTTTATGGTTAACAGTATTGATCTAACCTTGTATCACAGTAAATAATATAACAGTTCATCCAGATTGTTTATGACTGTGGTAAATATTTGATCAGATTCATGCTATATTAAACTCCCAAACGAATCCCCGTCATATCTGGTACCTTTTCATGCTGTACATAACAATCAGTCACTGATTTCTAACAGCACTAAAGTGCCAAATTCAGCCTGGCTTGTGTTCTTTGTTCTTGATTTAAATGTTTCATCAGTGTGAATGTTTGCTGCAACTATTTTCAAATGTGTTTGATCTGGAAACTTCTGTCAGGTTGCCATGGAAACCAGTCTGCCCAGTCGCCACGCTCTAGCTTCAACGGCAAACTCGCACCTCTCTTTTCCCTCTTTTGTCTTCACATCTGCCCTCTCCTTCTGCGTCTCCTAATGGGCTCAGAGAGAGAGCGAACATGCTCTAAATGATCCCACCATTCCGCTCCATCAAAGAGAGCAGGCCATTGGCATTTAGGCAAATGTAGCGTGAATACAATTTGGATTGTTATCCGTGGGTTTGGCTCTTTTCCTGTCCGTTCTGGCCTCTGATAACGTGTCTCTCTCTCTCTCAGGAGCCGTATCTGCAGGCGTTCTGTGACTGCTGCAGCTACAGGCTGGACCCGCAGAACCCGGTGCGCTTCCTCAGCCTGCAGTGCGCTAGCGGAGACGTCGAGCCCGTCGTTCTGCCCGTCATTCACAGCTGCGAGTGCACCAGCTGCCAGGGTGGGTAATGCCAGAGGAAACGGCCTCAAACAACATTCTGTGTCTCTGACATCAGGGGATGAAGCTCCTCTCTGCTTTGTTTGGAAAGATTGACGCGGTGTTAACGCATGGCAGTTTATGAGGACAAACGGCCCAAGAAAAGGGTTTGCTTTTGACGAAAACAAATGATATTAGGCAGAATATCTGTGCTTCTGTTTCCATACAACAAAAGTGGATGGGGATTTATACTGTCAAGCTCCAAAAAGGACCAAAAACACAGTTTAAGGGCATTATTTTTCAAGTGTTTGTAGCTTTTTAAAAACATTTAGTTAAACTGTTGCAATAAGAAAAAAAAGCTAAATATGTACACAATAATTCATATACATACATTCTTAGACTATTTACTATGCAAAATATATATTTTTATCTTCCAAAAATAAATGGATACATTGAACTACTATAAATTAAAGCAACTAATTTTATAAAATTTAATTCAACTAGTTGAGTAGATGCACTGATTGCTTAAACGTTTTGCAGATAAAAGTTATACAATGAACACATCATTTATTTAATAAATCAGTGCGGCGGCAATATTATTGTGAATTATTCAGTTAAATTATTAATTATCTGCTAAATGAATGAGGGTTTTTTTGAAGATGAATTTACTTTTGATTAAATGTATTAATTTACTTAATAAATACTCAATAATTTTGTCTATTTGTTTTTACCCATATAGCTTTCTTGAACTTTTTCCTAACAAATAGTAATGTTTCAGTATATACATATAAAAATTATGTACACATAAAGTCATATACATACATTTTTAGACTATTTACCATATAAAATATATTTTATTTTCCAAAAATAAACAGATAAATTGAAGTACTGTAGAATAAAGCCAGCTAAAATGATCAAATTCACTGCAATTTTCAGAGTAGACCCACAGTAATTACTTAAACAGGCATTTAGGCTTACAAATCATTTATTTAATAAATCAGTGTGGGCATATATATACTTAGAGACACAAGTATTACTTTATAGTTGAAATATTATTTGGTAGAAAAAAGTCATTTAAAGAAACTTTTGGTGAGAAACAGACTGAAATTTAAACAGTTTTTCACTGATAATGCAGGAGAACAATTGAAATCAAGCCTATTCATAACAAAAAAAGCTATCGTATGACTTCAGACAACTTGCAAACTGCTTTTGTTGTGCTTTTTTCTCCAAGTATAACTTCACTGTATGAAAAACAGAAGCTCAGACACTGAGCCGAACGTCTCCTTTTTTATTTCAGAGAAAAGAAAGAATATGATATGAGGTTGGAGCAACTTGAGGGTGTATAGATGATTTTTGAGTGAAGTAACCATTTATGTAATTAATATCAGCAAACTCTTCTCATTAACTTCATTGACGTTGGCATACATTAATTATTCATGATGTTTAATGGTCATCTCTGAAGGGTCTGCAGTATTTCTATTATGTCAAAGATAAATTCATAACCAAAACATGATGTTCTCATGCTATAATGAGCAGGCTGTAATGAGACGGTGCCACCCTCATTGTAATGTACGCTGCGTTTCCTACATGCCTAATTTCATCAGGCTGCTTCTCGTCAGTGTTTAGTCATTCATCACTGCGATTGATCTCATTAGCTAATTGAATCTCTGGGACTTCACTTAGAGGGGTCGCATTTTTTATCGTATGGCATCATGGAGCCATTTCATGCAGATTGATATTTACCGATACGCTCGTGGGCTGTGTAAACAATGCTGCAGAATTTGTTCGAAAAATTAAATAACGTTTGAATAGCAAATTTTTGTGGGCTCTGAAGAGATCGTCTGTCTGACTTATGCAACTTTCAAGTCGTGACATTATGATGGGGTTTACGAGACGGGCTCAAATGAACGGCACCAGTGTGGAAACTGTGGATTTTCTTCAAGTGGAGGGTGTGCCAGTTAAAGAATCTGATATATTGATCGTAATTAAACTGCCATTGTGAATGTTGTTCAAGTTAGCTTGAGTGCATTATGTATCGTTGATGAAAAACAGCCATAAAGCTTCCTAGAACAGTCATTTAGCCGCTTCATGAGGCGACAGGCTTTCGCGACCACACTATTTCCCATAATTCCCTGTGGCACCACAAGAATGATAAAATACACACAAAGCATCAATTACACACATAATGCACTTCCTTTCCTCTTTATTGTTTGGCACTAATGCTAAGAGCTTCCTGTCTTTGTTGAGAAGTGAAAAAGAGTGAAATATGAAATAGCTTGAGATGTCAGTTTTATTCCAACCAAATCACGTCGTAATTACAATTTCCAACCAATAAGCAAGAACTTACCAGGCTGACATCTGTTTGTCATCACTGCTTGCAGTTATGTTGGTTAAATATCCATGATGCATTGCAAAAATGTTTTTCTTCCTCAGTCTTTCATTTCTATTGTTTTCCAGTACTTAAATCAAGATCCATTTGACCCACTTGAGATGCACAATGACAAGTATTGTTTTCTAAAAAAAAAAGGATCAAAATTAACTTAAGTTCATGCTTAATACAAGAAAAAAAAAAATGCCGATAAACTTTATTCTAAGGAAAAACACAAGTTCATTTTTCATTTTTGTCTTGTTTTAGGCATAAACCCACTTAAAGGAATAGGTCACTCAAAAATACAAATTAGCTGAAAATGTACTCACCTTTAGGCCACACAAGATCAGGATGAGTTTGTTTCTTCATCAGATTTGGAGAAATGCAGCACTGCATCAGTGTCTCAGCAATGGATGCTCTGCAGTGAATGGGTGCCGTCAGAATGAGAGCCCAAACAGCTGATAAAAACATCACAGTAACCCACAGCACTCCAGTCCATCAGCTAACATCTGGAGAAGACAAAAGCTGAAACATATCCAGCATTAAGATGTTCTCAACATAAAACTGTTGCTTCTGGCTAAAATATGAGTCCATAATCCCAAAAAAATAAAAATCTCCTGTTGTCTCACATCAAAAACCACACACATTTTTGTTCAGAACTGTTTTGGCTTGTAAATGATGCTTGCTCTGTGCAGATTTCTCTCCTGGCATTATTATAGATTATGGACTCGTATTTTTAGTTAAAAACGTATTGATGGATTTATTTCATCTTTTGTCTTCTCCAGATGTTAGCTGACGGACTGGAGTGCTGTGGATTATTGTGATGTTTTTATCAGCTGTGATGGGGTTTACGAGACGGGCTCAAATGAACGGCACCAGTGTGGAAACTGTGGATTTTCTTCAAGTGGAGGGTGTGCCAGTTAAAGAATCTGATATATTGATCGTAATTAAACTGCCATTGTGAATGTTGTTCAAGTTAGCTTGAGTGCATTATGTATCGTTGATGAAAAACAGCCATAAAGCTTCCTAGAACAGTCATTTAGCCGCTTCATGAGGCGACAGGCTTTCGCGACCACACTATTTCCCATAATTCCCTGTGGCACCACAAGAATGATAAAATACACACAAAGCATCAATTACACACATAATGCACTTCCTTTCCTCTTTATTGTTTGGCACTAATGCTAAGAGCTTCCTGTCTTTGTTGAGAAGTGAAAAAGAGTGAAATATGAAATAGCTTGAGATGTCAGTTTTATTCCAACCAAATCACGTCGTAATTACAATTTCCAACCAATAAGCAAGAACTTACCAGGCTGACATCTGTTTGTCATCACTGCTTGCAGTTATGTTGGTTAAATATCCATGATGCATTGCAAAAATGTTTTTCTTCCTCAGTCTTTCATTTCTATTGTTTTCCAGTACTTAAATCAAGATCCATTTGACCCACTTGAGATGCACAATGACAAGTATTGTTTTCTAAAAAAAAAAGGATCAAAATTAACTTAAGTTCATGCTTAATACAAGAAAAAAAAAAATGCCGATAAACTTTATTCTAAGGAAAAACACAAGTTCATTTTTCATTTTTGTCTTGTTTTAGGCATAAACCCACTTAAAGGAATAGGTCACTCAAAAATACAAATTAGCTGAAAATGTACTCACCTTTAGGCCACACAAGATCAGGATGAGTTTGTTTCTTCATCAGATTTGGAGAAATGCAGCACTGCATCAGTGTCTCAGCAATGGATGCTCTGCAGTGAATGGGTGCCGTCAGAATGAGAGCCCAAACAGCTGATAAAAACATCACAGTAACCCACAGCACTCCAGTCCATCAGCTAACATCTGGAGAAGACAAAAGCTGAAACATATCCAGCATTAAGATGTTCTCAACATAAAACTGTTGCTTCTGGCTAAAATATGAGTCCATAATCCCCAAAAAATAAAAATCTCCTGTTGTCTCACATCAAAAACCACACACATTTTTGTTCAGAACTGTTTTGGCTTGTAAATGATGCTTGCTCTGTGCAGATTTCTCTCCTGGCATTATTATAGATTATGGACTCGTATTTTTAGTTAAAAACGTATTGATGGATTTATTTCAGCTTTTGTCTTCTCCAGATGTTAGCTGACGGACTGGAGTGCTGTGGATTATTGTGATATTTTTATCAGCTGTTTGGACTCTCATTCTGACGGCACCCATTCACTGCAGAGCATCCATTGCTGAGACACTGATGCAATGCTACATTTCTACAAATCTGATTAAATTGTATTACTGTACATCTCAAGTAACAAAACAAGACAAAAATAATGAGTAAGAATCACTTTTTGCAGTGTTTCAGGGACTAAATGTTATCATGGGTGCTGACTCTGATTCAGGCCACTGAATGCATATTCAATGAATTTTTCATGTGCAGCTTATGCTCAGGGCGTACAGTGAACTTTCAGAAAGGTATGAATCAAGATTCCAGGTTAAATACTCCCAGAGCTGCCAAATTCACCGATTTGTTCATCTGCTTTTCCACTTTCCGCAGGCGGAGACCTGTCGAGACGCTGAATGGCCACTTCTGAATGGACAGATGCTGCGTCCTCGTATTTGTCCAGAGTTCTTCATGTAGCTTGTCATTATATGACCGAATCTTTTCTATTTAATATTTCCTAAAGCTCTACGAGATCTACATTCTGTACAGCCTTTAAATTATGTTATGATTTATTACTTTTTTCAGGCTTTACTGTTTGCATTTTAATGAAATGCTCTTTATTATACTAGCTCTGTTGATTATAAAGAAATTAATTATTATTATTGCCAAAGAAAATCTTCTTTCACAAATTATTTCTTTAATAAATGTTTGTAGCAATTTTTTGTATCATAAAAAGGTGTCATGAACAGCTGTTTTCCCTTAAGTGGATAGATTTATTAAACACACTGGTTTGATATTTAAAACTTTATTTTATATAAACCTTCTTACATCAGATCTTTTCAGATATTATTTATTTCTAAATGTGCTCAATCTATTCTGTAGCCATTTCCAAGTAAAATGTTAAATTCTTACCACCTAACAACGTATTCATTGCTCATTCCGCGTCGAATCGCATCTCTTTTCTTCGAAGCGCTTTTTTCTCCACCGAATAAAAACTGAGAAGAGCGCAAGGGATACCCGAGGAGGACTCAACTATGGTCAAAATTAGGGTACGTTACCACAGAGTTCAGCATCCCACATGTAAACAATCCCCCACTCGCGTTTGGAAACCGGAAGCTGCTGTTTGGATAAGTGAGCGTTGAGCGCTGCTGCTGATGAAGTCGTCGCTGTGCGGAGCCTCGCGTGCCCAGGGCGCGAAGAGAGTGGCGGGAAGGTCAGCTTGAGCTCGAGACACTCCTGCGCGCGGGAGGATGCCGGTTCGACGGGGGCACGTCGCGCCGCAAAACACTTTCCTCGACACAATCATCAGGAAATTCGAAAGTCAAAGTAAGTTTGTGTTTATTTACAGTATTATACTTACAGTATAGCCTACTATGTTGTTTGTTTTTGTTTTTGTTTGGACTTGTGCCGCCGTGGCTGTACCGCGCTTTTCAGGTAACGGTTTATTCCTGTCAGAAATATTGTATTAGATTACTCCCTGTCAGATCAAGTAGAAAATCACACATTAACATGACAACTACACGTTACTGCTCTTTACAGTGTGGTATTCTTGCAAATACCTTGGAGAATACCATGGTAACATAATATATAACACTCAGTATCATGTTATATATCGACGGAACATGGTATCACCACAGTACGTTTTTTCATGAGACTTGCTAATGTGTAAACAGGTGTATCATAGATTCAGTGTCACCTGAAAGCTGAATAAATAATCTTTCCAGTGATGTATGGTTTGTTAGGATCGGACAATATTTGGCTGAGATACAACTATATGAATATCTGGAATCTGAGGGTGCAAAAAAATCTAAATATTGAGAAAATCATCTTTAAAGTTGTTCAAATGAAGTTCTTAGCAATGCATATTACTAATCAAACATTAAGTTTTGATATATTTACAGTCGGAAATTTACAGAATATCTTCATGGGACATGATCTTTACTTAATATCCGAATGATTTTTGGCATAAAAGAAAAATGTATAATTGTGACCCATACAATGTATTGTTGGCTATTGCTACAAATATCCCCCAGCGACTTAACACTGCTTTTGTGCTGCAGGCTCACAAATATTATGAAATATATGTATGTTATTGATCATATAGAGTCAGGACCAGAGAGTTTCTGTATCAGGCTGTACATCATCCTTTATTTAGACATGTTTGGTGCTGATATAGTCCTTAAAATATATTTTTCAATTTTAATTTTATTTCCCTCGCTACTTGAATAACTTACAGATACTTCAGTTTTTCATCCATTGGTGACTATCCTATTAATTCATGCGAGTCTCATGCGATGTTATTTTAGGTCTGATGAGATAAATGCATCTAAACTGATGTAGTTTAGAGTTGAAATAGCTTGTGCTGTTACCCTTGCACGTGATTTTGAGTTCTAAAACTTTAATTAGCGTCTATTATCCTGATGCATTCGCTGGTCTAACAGGTATGGAGATTCATGCAATGAGTCTCAGATGCGAATCTTCTTACTCAAGCGTCCTCCAAAATCGAACTGGCTTTCAACGAGCCGATCAGTCTTCATTTCCATCTTTCTCATTTTTCCTATGGAATACCAAAGGTTTCTTCGGACCGTCTTCCATTGATTATCTCGAACATTTAAACTGCTTAGATAATGAAGACTGTCTTTAGTTAGATGTCCTTGTCAGTAATAGTGGACTGTAAATGTCAATCCATAATTCTGAGTAAGGGTGTGCGATATGACGATTTTTGATCGTGGACGATAAAATTGTCTCCACGATCTGCTCTTGAAGAAATATCGTAGTATGGTGCTACAGTGCATATTCTATCAGTTGCAGTTCTGGCGCCTCCATCTCAATATACTGTACAACGCCACATGCATTCACATCAGCGTTAACTCAGCGGTAGACTTACTCTCACAGGACACTGTACTTATTCGCTGTCACAAAAGTACATTATTTGCATCTGCTTTAAAGCCTTGCCGGTTAAATGTTTCATTCGCACGCTGGTCTGACGTGCGCTTTTTCTGAGCATTTATTTATAGCATTTTAAATAGCATTTATGTTGTTATGTTGATAGGTGTATCATAGCTTCAGTGTCAAATGATAACACTGATAACAAATTGAGATTTCACCTCAAAGTTGAATAAATTAGCTTTCCATTGATGTATGGTTTGTTAGGATCGGACAATATTAGGATATTATAATATATATATTTACAAAATATCTTCATGGAACATGATCTTTACTTGATATCCTAATGATTTTTGACATAAAAGAAAAATGTATAATTTTGACCCATACAATGTATTGTTGGCTGTTGCTACATATATACATGTGCTACTTAAGACTGCTTTTGTGATCCAGGGTCACATATGATAAATGATCTTCATTGCTGTTTAATATTCAATGTTCATAATGAAGACCCAAATTATTGGAAACAGTTCTGAATTGCTATAAATCAAGTCTGGTTTGCATCATTTGGTCAGAAGTGACAGAAATCAATATGTTTTCACTTTCCATCTTAACCTTACCACTACCCTTCCTTCTTCAAAATGCCGCGTCTCTCCCTCGGCTGCTTTAAATAATTTATTTCCTTCCATCAAAACCCATCGCAAGCTTTTGAGAAGTGCTTTGGAGGTATTGAAGAGTAAGAGTCCTTCAAAAGTGCATTTCATCACACGTGGTCATCGCACTGACCAGAAGCCGCTAGTGTTTCTCCTTCAGTGTTTCTCTCCAGATGGCTTGGATCTGTTTTTCTAGCCTTGAAATCTCACACTAGACCGGTTCAAAAAGAACACTGTGTGCTTCCCATTGTGAGCAAACACAATTTTGATATCTCAGCCGAATATTAAAAACTCGTACATTTTCTCTCCGGTGTTCGGTAGATGAGATGAAATGTCAGATGAGAACAATTGCTGCAACAAAACAATAACCCAAAAATAAAAGCGACCCATGCGTGTGTCTCACAAGTGCATTTGTGGCTGATATGCCAGTTTTTAGGTGATATTTGTGGCCCAGTGTCTCTGAAGCGTGAGGTCAGAACCAAGCACGCATTCACAGAGCCGTGAGACCAACAGAGAACAACAGCAACACGAGCATCACTGTGGCAACTGCTGAAGACACTGCCAGAGAGACAGAGTCCCGAGAGAGAACTCCTTCTCCTTCTATTGCAATTCATCCATCTATTGTCTATCTATCCATTGTCTGTCTGTTGTTTATTGTTCCATCCATCCATCCATCCATCCATTCGCCTGTCGTCTATAATTGAATGTATAAATATAAAACATATTAAAATTATTATGTATTTAATATAAATATATAACTATCTATCTATCTAGACCAGGGATGGGCAACTTTGAAAGTGACGAGGGCCAGCATTTTTTCTCCTTTATACCAAGGGGCCAGATTACTAATCCACGTCCACACACCTTTTAAACCGTTTTACTAAATTTCCTTTTTATTGAAGGAAATGAAAGTATAACTAATGTCATTTGTTTTTAAAGATTTTATTAAGTATAAAACGTGTGCAGTTATGCTAATTCAGATGGAAAACTTTGTCAGTGGACAGAAATATTACCTAATAATGTAAACATTTCAATTGCATTGTCTGTAAATTTGCAACAAACAAATATACAGAGGTCCTTTTTTTTATTCGTAGCCAACAGAACAGTCTCAAAACAACCTAAAAGGACAGTTAAAAAGTTATTCCAAATGGTACCATATAATAATCTGGTATCTGCAGGATTTCTAAAATCAAATTTAAGACCTTTAAAGACCTTTTTAAGATCTGCACTTCACATTTCAGCCTTTAAACAATTTTTAAGAAAAGGGATGAGTCAAAAGTATCAATTATTATATTAATTTAAACAATTATTATCGATTAATTATTATATTAAATTAAGTATAAATATATCTTAGTGTCTTAATTGTTTAGATTTTTATAATGCATTCGCTTTTTGTCGATCCACTGGTTCACATTTAAAAATATGTAGCAAAAATAGCAGATGGGCTTATTGAAAAAGCACATTCGTTTTCTGCCAGCAGGTGTCACTTTTGGAACTGCAGACATATAGTGGTTTCCCCGTAACCGCAGTGCACAAAGCTGACGTGCAGCGCTCAAGTTTATTCAGTGAAATCGTAGCCTTTTGAAGTTTAATCGTCATATTAAACCATATAGCAAATCTTGTTTTTCCGTCCTCAAAGACCTCTTATAATTTAGACTTTTTGTACCATTTAAGAGTTTGCATGGCCTTAAATGTAAACAATTTAACTGAAGACGTTTTAAGGACCCGCGGAAACCCTAATAAGAACATAGTCCAGTGCAAACATTTCTGTCATGCATTTAGCGAAAAGCTTTTGTTGACTATGAATTTTACCTTTGATATTTGAGGCTAGTGCAACTCTACATCATACATCATAAACTGAAAGCAATCTTTACGTGACTTGCTTTTCAAATGTTTTAAAATTGATCATCCGAGTCTAATATGATCCAGGGGGCCGCCAGATGCCGTCCCTGATCTAGACCCATTCCATTCTCCCAACTTTTCATGAACAGTTTCTTTCTACTTTCTTCTGTTCTTTCTCTCACCTCATTGTAGTTTTAATACCGTATCATAAAGAGGACAGAAGCATCAGAGGAGAGTTTGAGATGCACATTTCCCCACCGCACTGAACTTTGTTCAGCATTAAGGTGTGGGTATTTATAGTTTTCTATATAAAGTTGTATTTTTCCATCGCCTGCTTCGCTGTCACATCGCTGTTGAGTTGTCATGGTCTACTTCTGACAGTATTCTGGGATGCAGAGTGGTTGCTATGCCATCTCTCTCTCTCTCTCTCGCTGTAATGGAGAGTGGGTGAGATCACAGTCTTATCGGCATGCTGTCAGAGGAGTTGGTGTGATTAAATTTCACCGTTGTACAGGTGTCCATTCTACCTTTTCTTATGTCTTTCTGCCTCTGTCGCTCCTGTTCTCTAATCCGCAAACTCCTACACCAAGCATTAGTTTGTAGAGATTTCACTGTACTGCAGTTGATGTATTTGCACTGATATTAGTGTGCTGGACAGCGTTACATTATTTACATGTCAGAGCGATAAAGAAACATGGTGTAAGGTTTAAATTACAGAGCAGGAAGTGTTGCAAACAAGTCAAGATGAGGAGTTTGGTTGCGTATAAGATCTTGGTGATTGTATCTGCTCTTTTGCTCAGCTTGCATGCATGCTGTTTTGCATATGTATATGCATATGCATGCACATATGGCTGTTGTATTGGTGTGAGCTTGTGTTTAACAGTCTCTAACAGGCTCAAGTTTGCATCTAAGACAAGCTGGCAGGAGAAAGAGCGCACTAACACC